AACAAACTTTTTGGTATTTAAGTTCTATTTCACCCAGGCCTCAGGCTACGTAAATTGTTTACGTGATCGCTACAATCGTGACCTTCGGAGACTGCCAGACCTATTGCTGACGTCAATAGATTTTGCTATAGTCATGATTAGATGCAAAAAAAAAACAGAAAGCGATTTTCCTTAATTGTTAAGCTCGATGCTATGTCTCAACCTGTATACATTCTTATTCTCGTGTAAAAAAAATATATTATGCATATGTAAACTCTTTAATTATAAATGAAAAAGGAAGCTGGAGAGCCAAACTTAACAAAATTAAATTAGGAACTAAACTAAATAAATAAAAAATGTTTACATTCATTATTCACTTGAATATTAAGCATATAATAGTCGGTAGTTTGTATACTTTTGTTTAACTAATAGAAATGGCAATAGACTTTCCGACTTTTGGGAGTTATTTTCTTTTTTCGTTCAGAAACAACTGGAATGTTTTATATAAGATAAATTTAAAATGAAAAATACATACTTGAATTGAGGTCAACGAATTTATTTTTGTGTGTGACGAGACCCATAATGCAAAAAAAAACAGTTCTGTCGTTTTCCTAAAATCTCTCAAATAGTCTTATGTAATACCGTAACTAAAACATTTTGACGTACATACTAAAATGTAATTAAGAAAACCTTTACAACTTGAACCATTAACGCAGCGCTGGATAAAATACGAGTAAGCACTTAAATGAGTCTGCTAAAGGGAGACGGAAATTACTAAGTCGTAGATTCCTATACGGATAAAAATAATGAGTTTTGCAGGTTCTTATAGTAAAACAAAAAGTCATCGTATAACAAAAATTTGTCGTCTTATCTCGTCTTAAGCATAGCATAGTAGTATAGTAGCACAATACTTCTCAATACACCATCAGTCATGTGATTATACATGTTAGCTATAATGTATATTTCAATACACTCGTATCTTGAATATACAAAACGACATAAAAATAATTATACAGTAAATTATTATCTTCATCATCAAGACTTATATGGATGGAATGAAAGGAAGGGAATTCACTACATTGCCTGTTCTATGTGTGATATTTTAAAATAATATAAAGTATATCCATGTATGTATGATGTAATGTACATTAATGTACACTTTATAAAATTAATAATATCTGCTTTATTGCAGACCATGATGTCAAATTAGCTAGAAACAATATTCTTAGAGACTACTATTAGTATAGTAAATATAGGAAATAAAGTAGAAAACAGGGCTGCATAAGCCACAAGCCAATAAACAGTTGTTGCTGCTGGGTGTGACATACTTATATAATTAACTTTTAAAAAATCTGAAAACCTTTTTTTCCGTGTCACACGTGACAATAATTTAAATGCCACTTATGTGATAGGTTATGGCTATTAATGTCAACCGAGGACTTTAGAAAGGTAATAGGAAAATTTGGAGTTCAATTCGAAAGGAAACGTTGTTAAGATGGAAAAGCAATGGTAGGATAGAGACATTGATAGTCCTGGCACGTTTACCGTTTACTTTTTGATCACCTGGCGGGTATGGACGCGAGGGTCTATGACCAGACTCATGCGATCCGCCGGGGTGAGAGCAGGGAAGACGATCTCGAAACGCGGCGGAAAGCTCACCGATAGCACTGGGACTCCGTCCAGCACACGCTGGAAGACTGCCCCGCGTGGGCGTCTGAACGCTAAGTCCTGGTCGGGTTGGTTTTTAGTGGAATTACCGCATAATCCTGGCACCTGAGTTCCCGAGGAGCATGAGGTCCGAAGGGATTTTCCACTCCGTCAACAAAAAAAATTAAAATAAAGGGATATAGACATTGAAAGTAAACTGATTTGTCTTTAAAATCAGAACAGGCACCTAAGTTATTTAAAAAACCGGCATCTTATTTTTAACCGACTTCGAAAGGAGGAGGATATTAATTTGAATGTTTATATATATTTTTATATATGATCGGGTATAACTCGTTTCAGAAACAGACAATGGAATCAAATATAATAATTTACCCAAACATTCACAATTTATATGGAAACCGAAAAATGAAACGAAAATTAAAAAGTTGATGCAAATTCATTTAACTAAACCTAAACTTTTTATCGTGTTTGTTTATATCAACTATTTTGGCACTTGCAGCACTCTACTAACAAGATTTCGATCTGATTTCTTGATACCCAATGCTACAAACGAAACAGGTTAATACACCTTTTTTTTTTTTTTTTTTTTTTTTCCGTGCGGAAATCCCCTCGGATACCACCTGTCGGTGGCATGTCGGACTCGAACCGACTAAAACCGCACGCCTTCGCCGGGTACTAATAGCCGGGGAACCAGGTATACCCTAGAAAGGAAGGCCCTGGTGCCCCGACATACCTCGGGTCATCTACAGACGAGTAGACGACCCCCGCCCCGTGTGGGAACCCCATGTTCCCTATGCTCCCTGGAAGCGAGCGCGCTTCGCAACGCGCTCGTCGCCACCCCGGCCTGCTTCTGCTAGGGTGACAGATGGCCTCACCTGTCACCCCCAGGCCTGCGCTTATGGAGGACGGAGGTCGTTCTGCGACCTCCGGCGCCTGAGTCGCCTGCGCTGCCTGGCCCGTGCCCGGGCCTGGCGGGCCGGGAGAGTTCTAAACCTCTCCCGGTCCCGCTCCGCCGTCTCCTTCGCGAGCATAACTTGCTCGCAGAAGGAGACGGCAGAGTTCCACGCACTCTCGCTCCGCACGATAGCCGCAATCAGGCTACCGAGCGAGAGAACTCCCACTCCGATGGCCGCCACGAGGTCTCGCCTCTGCTCAACCCACGCCGGGCACTCTGCCAGCGTGTGGAGAGCCGTGTCCACGGTCTGGCCATCGCAGTGGTGGCACTCAGGCGTTGGCTCCTTGCGGATCAGACACAGGTGATCTCCGAAACATCCCTTCCCAGTGATCACCTGCGTCAATCGGTATGAGAGGGTCCCGTGACGCCTCTCGAGCCAATCCTCCATAACGGGTCTTACCGCCGCAATGACGGCGTGCCCGGCGCTCGGTTGCCCGAGTCGTTCCCTCCACTCCCCTATGATGACCTCGCGGAGTTGGGATTTCCGGTCATCGATTTCTCGAATCTCGGGGCATCGACCCAACTCCTGCGCCTCCTTGCGCCACTGATACAGTGCTGCAAGGGCTCTCGCCTCCAGGTCCCACGGTGGAGTACCGGCCAGGAGACTCGCCGCCTCAAAGGAGATCGTGCGGTACCCCCTTATGATCCTGATGGCCAGCATTCGCTGCGGTCGTCGCAGTATCGCGACGTTGCTGGCCTTCAGGGCCCCCGCCCATACTGGGCACCCGTAAAGGGCCATGGACCGCACAACCCCCGAGTAGAGTCTCCGGCAGGAGTCATCGGGTCCCTTCATGTTGGGCAGCAGCCGCGCCAACGCACGCGCTGCCCCAACCAACTTGGGGACCAGACCGGGTTAATACACCTAACATTTGCGGACTTGTGTCACTATTATAGGGAGACAGCTAACCAGGATGAAGTATATAAATATATCAACATGATAGATAATCAACTTGCTTTATAAGAGTCGTACGCTAAGATGAAAGGCCTTAATAATTTTGAAAGTCGTAATGAAGACAAATTGCTGCGTATGAACACTCTATACAAAATTGACGATGATAAATTACAAATCTTGGTATAATCGTTTTCCTAATATAATGTTGACAGAATTTTAATTAATATGTGTATATTAAACGTATAATATTTATGTATGTAAAACATGGAAATTAATGAATTTGAGTTTGAATTAATGAGTTTTGGATTCTTTGGTATTCTTCAGTATTAAACATATGAGTAATTACTGGTACAATATCAAGTATGGTGAGGACTATATTGTATTTTATATTTATATTACCAATTGCATTAGATATTATGAATCGAATACTTTCTCCGACATCACAAGCGGACAATTGACTAAGAACAAATGAAGGATAGTCAAGAGTTGGAACTATAGAAAGATTTTAGTTTGTTTAGTTTAGTTAGTTAGTGATTAATCAGCACTCCACTGCTATGTCTGGCTTTAATGATAATGACTAGTGCTGTGTCGTTTATCATTCTTTTATTTGTTGAAGTTGTTTGAAGTTGAAGTTTAAATTACGACAGCAATTCAATCTAGAATGTTCAGTGAATTTCCTAGTTGTATCTTTTCCTAACATTGTTACGAATACTATGTCAGAGGATGTGTAAGTATTATGAGTTTTGACAACAAGACAACATGAGACATGGTTAGCAGAGGTATCTGATTTAAGTAGTTAAGGAATATTTCTCTGCGAGAATATGACCGGACACATGAGTTTCTCTTTCAAGGCAGCCACTTCGATTGGAGCTACGCCAATTCGATCAAGTTTAATGCTATTAAAATCGATTTAGATATTTATAAAACATTTCATATTTTTATTTCATTATACATTTATATATTCCTTCATTATTTGTCATTTTAAAGAACTTTCGTAAATAAAGAGAGGGTGTAGGAAAAAGGACACTATTGTTGTGCATATAGAGCATTAGAAAATAACAGCAGCAATTAAAAATAATTAAGTTTGGACAAATATAATTTTTGACTCTAAACGCACTGTTAATAGCGATTTTTACAGTTATAATTTTTGAAGATTGATTTAGGAATATTTTTGTCATGTTTAAAAAACTTTTTAAACTGTATCTTTCGGATTATAAAGTACAATGTGATTTTTCATTATAAAACAAATCAGTATGAATAAAATAACAAAACTTTTTTTGTAACCATTAAAAGGTTTAACATGTGTGTATTTATGAATTAGAATTTATTGATCAAATTGTGACATTTGTCAATTATGTTCACATGGCAACCATTACCACAAAAATGTAGCCATTTTGAGAACAGGTTCAAGTGTGAATAAAAACATTCTACTCTTTAAATGCAATAGTTTGGTTAGAAAAAGTACGGAAATTTACCTAATGCAAATGATGAATTCGTAAAGTCAATATGCCGCTTTCTACTAATTTCCGACGTGGTACGTCAATTTACCTTTATAATATTGTTAGTTTAGTCTGCTGAGTCGATTTTACAGAGGCAAATGCGTTTATGCTCTATACTGGCAATCTAAAAGAAAGGTCATCATCATCTATTACTTAGTCAGATTCTGATCAGTGACGTGGCTAAAAATGATTCATAAATACGAGTATACCTATCTATCTATATATCTCTTCATGTATTTATAGGTGAATCACGAATTATAAATCAAAAGTTAAATCAAAAAACCTAAGTAAATACCTACTTAATTCTATTTTTTCAACATGTACTATGCACATTATGTATACATATACAAGTGACGCGGCAACAAAACTGCTAAATTTTAACTTCTTAAGAAAGTAGCTTATTTAAACAAACCGTAATGACAATATCTGTAAACCCTTAGATTATTTTTAAATAATCTTAGTGTACAATGTTCGTGCATTGACTGTTCTTGAATTTATATTGATAATCCTAATATTTACTCGTGAAAACCTGTAATTGGCTTTCTGTTATCTATTGCTATGCGTAAATGGGTATCTCGTAGCTGTTGGTTTTCCTAAGATGAAATAAATATATGTGAAAATAAAGTGCTCTCACTATCTTATATACTCTACTACTACTACTACTAACAATAATGAATCTTAACCAATATATTGTTTTTGTGTATGGCTCGTTACAAGTAGCTCGTTACAAGTTACAATGTAAACACAAACTTTTTTGACCGACAGCAGTATCATAACTAAGGTATTTGTATCCTAAACACTGCTTCATAAATTTTTGATGTCATGTCGCATTGAATGGCTTCTTGCTTGCCTTACGAAACGCCATGAGCGCTTGCCTTAGGGACATGGATGGGATTATCCATGGCCCCAGAAAGACCAGGCCTGGAACAAGGCACCGCGCACCGATCTATTCCGGTGGGGCAAGGTCTCCATACTTAATAATGTTGTTTAAATGCTATTTTTTTCTTTTAGAAATGCTGCGATCTATAAAAGATGCCAAAAAAAGCAAAGATGATCAAGACACTTCTAATAACACACAAAAGAACAATCCAGACCAAAACCTTGATAACAATGGAAGTTCAAAGAAAGACGGAAATTCCAAAGCTGTTACCAAAACTGCTTCACCCGGTCCAGCTAATAATACCAATACGATAATTAGAAACGTTTACTTTGCTTATTATAGACTTCATTGTTTGGAAATATAAATCACTTTCACGTACGACGTTAATAATCAGTAATATGTAAAGAATTATATAGTATTTACCAGACTGGATTTTGAAAATAAACTTTTTTTTTTCAAACAATTCTTAAAGTAAAATTCAAGTTAATTTAATTAACTACTCAGCGTCGTACTCATCATAATCCTATAACAACTGAGCCTAAATTAAGATACAAAATATATTGTGAAATTATCAAAGCAATTTATTATTAGAAAGCAACATAATTCATGCTTTGATTATTAAGTAATGTAAAACAACTTATATTTTTACCTATTTATATTATATGATAATTTATTTATATAACGCTGATATGATGTTAAATTTCGTTTCTTTTGAAGTATAATAATTTTATCACAATACATTAAGTTTTAAATGTTTTGTTTTACTTCATTAGCTAGAATAGTTTGAACTATTATTTTTTGGGCTTATCGTATCATAACTGGTCAACACATTTACACTTGACGCTTGTAGCCATTTGTAGCTGTCTTTACATTATTTTTAAATGAATAACACATATTGATAAAACATTTAGGCTTTCCCCATTTCTTCTATTTAGAAACTTAAACCAGTCCACATTTTACATTCCTCTTTTTCTTCATGTTCTAATATACTAGAAACCACCTCGTCGAATTTCGAGAGTTTTAATGAATTCACAATAAAAATTTTTTAAAGCGTACTCCTTCCGAAAAAGCCGGCAACGCGTTCGTGACTCCTGAGTTGCAGACGTACATGGCTCGTCTGCCTCCTCTAACAAATAAAAGTATCACCAGAAAATCTGAAATTCTACATATTTTAACTATTTACATGAGTTGGGTTACCTCGAATTTATAAATTGCTAACTTATTTGTATTCGCATTTCTCTCTGTAATGAAAATTCATTAAAGAAGTCTTAGACTTAGATATTAACTTGCTTTTAAATTCAGGCACAGCTGTCAAGAGTCCATTTACATATTTTTAACCGAATTCAAAAAAGCAGGTTCTGAATTCGTCAGACTCTTTTTTTTCCATTACCAGTTAGTGTTAATCAGTACCTGATTGTATGTTATGCCTTCAAATATAGAAGTTCAACATACATGTATAGCATTACGAGAACACGACTAAACAGAGAAAGACGCATATTTATTTAGACTTAGTTAGCTTATAATTAAAATACTAATTACCAAAAGGAAATTCATTCCACTGTGGTACCTACCTATTGAATCAACAAGACGACCAAAATTGATCGCACTAGTTAGGGTGGCGCGTCGCATGCCGACGGGGTGGCGCCAGACTCTCACTACAAGGTTACGTAGAGTTCATACTGGTTTGTTGACAATTGTTATTAGTTTCGAAAGTTTAATTAACTGTCCATCTAAAGTCAAATAAAAAAATTATTAAGTTAATACATACGTGTGTTTTATACAGAATTATGAATATGTAGTTGTTATCTTTGGCTTAACAAGTTTTTTTATGATTAAAGTTGAACGGACGAACTATATAACCTTTATTTTCAAGATTCAATTGTTTCCAGGCCCCTCTTTCCCACTGGGCACTCTAGGCACGTGCCCAGGGCGTCTCGATAGATAGATCCCCCTAATTCCTACCTACCTACCTAATTCGATAATCGATATTTATTACCAAAAACCATATTTGTTTAGAAAAATCCAGCGAAAATGGCTGATTGATACCTTTTTTGGGCTATTCTAACAGAATACTAATCAGTCAAGGTAGTAGGGGCCCCATTATCTCAATGTGCCCAGGCCCTCCGATAGGCTAAAGATGGCCCAGATTGTTTCAGCAGTTACAAGCATATGGCATATGGAATGAATGTGACCTAGATCAAGTGGCGATGTCTCTTTGTCAGTCAAAATTTGAAGTAGTTATTTTAAAGTCAGTTTAAATCATAATCGTAACTGGAAGTTGGAGTTTGGCTAATACTCATTCTAAAAGTGGGATATACATATATATAAAACATTTGTAAATATTTATACAAATACTAACAATTACATAATAGAGCGGCCTAAAGTTCAGCCTACCTACAGTGCTAGCCAGAGGTATTTGTTTCTTTTCTTTGTGTTAAGAGTACGATGACGTGTTGGATAGTTCACTCGTAAAAAAAAAAAATTCTTTTCATATTATCATTGGAGAAAGTTAACCGTTACCGGCCACGTTTAAGAATGATTCATCAGTTTTATGTCAGTTTGTTGAAATTTTTAAAAGCAAGTAATTTTCTTCGCCTTTGGATTAGAAAACGAACAACTTTTCAATGTTATTGGCTATAATTAGGTAACGAAATGTTATCAAAATAAAACACAAAGGCTTACAATACTAGTAGATACACTATAATCGTAGAATATACTGTATTTGATGTTCTGGTACTGTAGGGATTGTATTTGACTAGAAATAAAATCTCTTCGTGTTAAAAACAGTTTCTTGAAACGAAGATAATTGGTAATTGTCTCATGAAAATGAAAGAATAGTACTTATGCTATTTAAATATACATTATAGTAAAAGAGTATAAGTATTATTCTTTCGGTTTTAAATTAAAATATTAATGTAATTCTAATATTGTTAGAAGTGTTAACTTGATAAGTTAAGAATTCCCAATATGAGCTGACAACAGGGTTATCGTATTTCAGTTTTTGCTAGCCAGAGTTATGAGGTTCATATTCGCACAAATAAAAGAAATATATTTATTCCCAATGTCAAGACGGGTTTATATGAAATGTGAATGATACATACGTACAATAAAATTGTTACACAGTTGCTGTTTGAGATAGGTTCTATACATTAGTAAAATACATAAAAATAATAGGTCTACCTATGTGGTTGGCAATTTTTAGAAGAAGCAATTTGAGATTTCATTTACTGTGAATTGGTGCGCAATTCATGCTGTTGTAATTTAAAATTCAATCATTTAATTTTTTTAGATAGTGTTTTGTTTTTGTGAAATTGTGGTAGTTTTTGACTAGTTGAATCTTATGGGTTATCCTTGATATATATATATACAGACATACTTCTCCTTTTTTTTAAGATTTTTTAAAGATAGTGAAAGGTTTATTATGATCTTGTTTCGAACAAACAAACAATGCCTTGCTACTATGTATCATAGAAACAATAAATACTTACAATTGATATATTGGTTCATCGATCGCATCGTTATCTCAGTTGTCTTGAGTCTCAATATTATACTCCATGTTACTTATTTGTTAAAAATGCTTTGGTATCCTAAGGAAAAGCCCTTTTGAAAACATAAATAAGATACCAAAACAAGTAAGTATAAAAAAATACAGTATTCGAATGCAATTTTATGATGATTGTATGAGTAGCCTAAGACTAACAAACACGACTAAAAAATTAACTCACTTTTGCATTACGTAAACTAATCTTGGAGGCTGATTATGACCTATTTCTAATGGTCATATCATAATTAAATTGCGTAAGTAATTGTGTAGTTTGGGTGACAGTCATGGTATGACATCTTGGAGCTGATCTGATGGAGCCAGGAGGTGAATAATAGAACTGTTCAATGGTTACTATTAAACCCATCGAGTTTAGGTGATTCCATATGACTCGTGTCGATGAATGTAGCAGATTGGGTCGGTAATGAAGAAAGAACTGATGTTTATTCGGTTCGATATTAAAACTGTTAAGCTGGCATATGTATACTTGTTATAGTTTAAAAATAAATATGAGAACAAAATAAATGTTATTATTGTTTGTTATGGCCTCCCTATTTTCCTTCTTTTACGCTTAGTAAGTAATCGTCGTTTACGACTGTTTTCCTTATTAAAGTATTCCGGTATCTATTAACAATATTTTCCCTAGACGCAAGTGCGGTTGATTGATCTAAAACCATCTAAACTAGAAGGTCAGCATTCAAGTGGAAAGGACAAAGTTGTAACTTACGATGTTATCCATTCCTGACAAATGTATTGTCGCTATTAAAAAGGCATCAAGTCAAGTTTAGATATCGGGAAAGAGTTCAGCTTATATTCTAAGTGTCATGACTTTGTATAACATACGAATTTATATTCTTACAATAACAAATAATATATTAGGTCAATTTTCTTTTCAGTTTTGTTATAGAATTAAATTATATGTAATTGTTGAAGATGAACATGGTTTGAAACGGGTGTTAGTGGCGTGTTGTTGTTGAAATAGTTATATAAATCGATTGTGATATGACTGGTTGATTGGCTGTGGTGGCTGGATATCTATACCTCTTATTTGATACTAATATCTTACTTATTAAATGTAGAGAAACTGCGGTGATAATTCGCAGTGGGTATTCCTTAATTTAGAGTTACATGAAAAACATTTTTACATTCATATTATGTAATTTGATTTATGTTTGATATGAACAAAAGTAAAGTGTGTTACCCGTTTCATATAATTTTCATATCCATTGTTATTAGGTTATTTACGGAGGTCTGACCCAAAGACGACAATACGTCATGAAAAGAGCTCAAACATGTGTACCTACTAAAATTACCACACCGCTACATACGAGGAAATATCCTGTCAACAAATCTGTGACCTAATATTTTAATACCTTCTTTAGTCACCTTTCTTAATCTCATTAGGTCTTTTATTGCACATTATTGGTAAGCATGAAGTTAGAAAAATTGGCGACTAAGTGGTCAATTATATGCCGGCGAGTGTTCAGACATAAGTACTATCTGTTTACCAAAGTTAAAACAGGAGGTTTTTGTTAGAATATCGCTTAAGTTCTACAAACTAGTCCACAAAAAAGATCAGTTTGACATTCAAGTCCTTCCAACTTTTGTTCATAAAAGGCTAGATTTAAATTTTACCGCGCTACAGGTAGGGACTGCAATCCGGAAAAACGGATCCGGCAATCCGGCGGATCCGACATCATTAAACGTTCACTGGATCCGGTACCAATATACCGGATCTGACGACCGGATCCGGTGCTAACAATTTTTGGCACAGTAATAGAGCTGTTGCATGAGTAGGTACTTTAAATGCACATTATTTTCTTGTATTTACGCGAGCGATAGTATCTGTTGAAAAGTGTTTTATTTAAATGGAAATAGACATTGTTTTTGATCAATCGATAAATGAATCTTGTTCATCTTGTTCAGCTTTCTCACTGTCCGCACCATGATCCTCATCATTTTGACTTGGTTTTGAAAGTGACACGTTTTGAAACTTATTTTAATAAGGATAAATTAATAATAAATACACTACCAGTAATATCTACAACTAAAGATAAAAAATATTTGATTACAATTTTAATTCAAATTTTCGTTTGTACTTAACGTAACTCAACTCATTCTGAAGGCGAATAATTCGGACGATTTGTGTGAACTATTGAGCATTATTTATTTATTTAATAATAATCTTTGAAATGTATAATTCTTACACTCATAAGTGAACAAGATTCATTCACAAACACACACACACACAAACACACAAACAGTTTTTAACAGAAACTATCGCTCGCGTAAATAAAAGAAAATAATGTCTATTTACTTAAATTTTGACGAACCACCGACAAGACAAAACACACATTTATTGACTCAAATGAGGCGAATAATACTGAATTGAGTGGGTGGCGCGATGCGGATGCGGGATGGAGGAGGAGCGGCGCGGTACTAGCGCAGCTTAGTGGGCTGAGGCGACTCGGATTCGAATGACTCGCACTCATGAACACCACGCGCAACGCATTTAAGTACCTACTCACGCAACAGCTCCATTATTTTGCCAAAAATTGCTTGCTCCAGATCCGGTGTTCGGATCCGGCATAATGGTACCGAATCCGGTGAACTTTTAATGATACCGGATCCGCCGGATTACCGGATCCGTTTTTCCGGATTGCAATCCCTAGGTCTACAGCAGCTACCTATTTTTAGGTTTATTTATTAATCTTAATGAGAACATTAAACCTGATAGAGGATTGTTGTTTAAATATTTTAAGCTAAAAACTATGAAAATTTAAAGTAGGTCTCATATTATATCTTAGTTCATTAATGCAAAATATACTTAAATTAAGAAGGTAACATTTATTGTTGTCAGCGCCGAAGATACAAACATAATTAAGACAAAATGTCGCACGCACTGAGCGTATTCCGCGATCATAATTATATTTAACCTACTAATTAATTCGCTTGTTTACATGTTTAGAGCAGATTCAAATCATTTAGATGTGTAATATAGGATAGTTAGGCTAACATGTTTATTTTCCACTAATCTTGCTGCAAAATTATTTTCTTCTATTGTGAATATTTTTTTTGGTTTTAGTTCTACCCTTATACTGATCGTCTTTAAGTTTTATTTTCCTGGCAGTTTTATTTTCTTAGTGAGATGTGCAAACATTGAGTCAATAATAATTTTAAAAGTATTTTTTTAATTTAGTCAGGTATAAGACTAAAAAAAGTACGATTATGAGTAACTTTAGTTATTTAATTTAGTTGTTCTGCATTGCAAACTACTACAGCAGAAAAAAATAAATTAGAGTATTTAGGTATTTTGGGTAGATATTAATTTAATTTTTTTAATCCGGTTGATACTTGGTAACTTGGTACTAAAGCCTTTTATTCTATATCGGTGAATTGTAATTTTATTAAACATAAATATATATTATAATATGTGGCTATACAATCAATAAAAAAATAAATTGATGGGCATTTGATCAATGATATGCGAAGTAGTTTAAAGGGAAACTTATTAATAGGTATGCAACAGTATAGCAATGAAATATTCAGTCCATAGATTATTTTTTAAATCGAAAGTTGTTTAAATATAGATTTTCCACAATGGTCAATTCCAAATCTGGAACTATGTTAACTAAAGCAATAGGAATCTAGTTACATATCATTAATATTATGTAAATCCGAAACAATAGGAAATAATGAATATTTCCTATTATTTCAGATTTGGCCACCTCGCATATTTTGAAAATTTAATTTTAAAACTCTTTGGCCATGAGTTGGTTATGTTAATAAACAATCAAAGATTGCCACCAGTGACAAGACATAGTTGTTTCGTCTGTCATAAAATCATTTTGTAGTTAAATATATATTTTTTATTTTGTGAAATCTACAAAATGAATTCTGGAACGACAAAACGTCGGCAGCTGCCGAAACTATACGCCTGTGCGACTAAGTTAAGTTTGGAGAATTTGCGAAACAAGGCACTGTTTGGTTTGGATCTTCTTGATGCTAAGGGTATAAGAAGGTATCTGGTGATTTTTAAACATTTTAAACACCTTTAAAACTGAGAAACTTATATGAGATAATAAACTGAGAGTCAATATCAAAATCTAATAAGTAATGGGTTTTCAATCAAATTAAAATTGTTTAGAAAATTTGGAAAAGTAAAGTTTGCATTAGCGCACATTTTGACGACTATAAAATTATACTAGTACTACTCGTAGTAATGAACCCTACTAATGAAGAAGAGTTTACTAATCAATCCCGTGATTGACCTAGGATTTGTAACTAATTGCGTCATGACTATTATGCACTTAATCTTTCAAACATTTGCAGCTGCTAGAATATTATGGTTGTTTACATATAAAATAAATTTATCCTCGGTATTTTATGAAAAGTTTAACCGATGATGACAATAGGGAGATGCCTAACAGAATGGTAGTCTCTTAATTAAACGTCATTTAAAATTACCTAGATTTGAAGAAGGTTTTTTAGTTCAAACAAACCCGTTTCCTTAAAAGCTAGCTGGCTGGTTCGCCTGATCTTACGTTATTGGCCATTTCAATATGGCTTAATGTTAAGCACGCCAAAGTCCAAGCTACATACAGATTTCCATATTTTATATTTCAGAATAAAAGTACCTCTTCACGAATGCATTATTCTCGAGTTAAGAGAATCAGGTTACGCAGAGTCTTCCTCCTATTTACAAGATCTCATTTATGACAATGTACAATTGTTGGAAGAAGATGAACTCGGAATTGTGGTCGATCTAAGAAAACGGCCCGATTATTTGAACCATATATATCCGATTTTACAGAGAGCCGAAAGGGAACACGATAAAGGTAGTCACACAGTAAACTCTTGAACAAGTGTCTTCGACTTGAATGCGCCTACACCAGGATGAGTTGTGATAAACTGTAATTCTTCATACCTTAATTTTACACCTTAAGGTGTGTTCTTCACACAGCCAAAAAGAAAAAGGTTTATGACTAGTACAAGATCTGCCTAGTTTGGATCAGACGGGCGAATGTAAAATGTGTGAAAATCTTATTAATATTATTAAATGATGGGTTCTGAGGTAAAAAACAAAAAAAAAATACAAATCGAGAACATTTTAAGTCGGGTAAAAACTAAATAACGAACCACTTTCTGTAATAAAGTTCTTGTACAATTCTTAAAAAATAATAATATTGTAGCTCTACTCTACTACTCTATTTAAATATTTCTTTACATATCACATCGACAGCCTTTGATAGTCCACTGCTGGACATTGGCCTCTCCTTAGAAAGGAGATTTATGCCTACTATACCACGCTGGCCAGACGGGTTGGTATAGAGTTTGTTTCAAGTTTTCCATACCACCAATAAATTATTACTTAACCAAATTGGACATGAATGACGTTCAACGCTCATTACTTTTTAATGTATAAATTGCCAGGTGACTCCAAAAAGGAAACATTACATCTACTTGGTCTAGCACTATTCTTTGCCGATAGAGAAAAGGGCATATTATGGCTTGCAGAGAAATTGTTTTTGGCGGCCATAGCCGTCGCCAGTCAATATTTAATCGACGGTGGCCGCCAAAAAGCTTGCTGTAAATACCGTTACGCAAAATTTCTTCTAGACAAATGTAAGTATTACATTTTATGTGAATGAGATATAATATCATATTTTTCGTCATATTCAATTTTGTGACTGGCGGCTATGCCATATTACTGATATGCCATATTACTAAGATATTGCTTGGCGTTTGGTTGAATGTAGTTACGTTTAGATTAAATAATCTGTTTAATACAGTTCCAGCTATTGATGAGGAGCCATTTAACATATTAACTGAGGTCAGAGATACATCGATTGGGAAGGTGAGATAAGAAAGTTTTCGTTTTTAGTTTAACATTTACGATTTTTACTTAAAAGTTATGAAATTATTTTTTTCCGTTCAAATAATGAACTTTAAATTTCATTTTCATTTTGTACTTATAATGTTACTATCACCGCGCAGCTAGTTCGTAGTGCTGACGTCTGAGCTCGCGCGATTTTTATCAATGCCATTAAGCCATTTACAAAACCAATTCATGCGGCCGGCTGCGACTATAATGTTGACTGCTGCAAAAAGGCACGCGACAGAAGTACAGTACACGCAACAGACAAGTAATGCACATTATGCACATAGCCTACTACCGACTTCCTTTATGTATCTGTTAATGTTAAGCTATTTACAGTACGTATCGGATATATCTATATCTACTATTCTTTTTTTGTTGAAAAGTAAGGACATGTTAATTTTTAGACCTAAATTTTGAAAATCGATAGAATACAATCACGGGCGATCGGTCACACACAATTTCGCTACATAAGATTATACGGCATTGATCACTAGCGACTAAAATATGTAATAGAGCCTAAAAATTCCATGTGTTTTCAATCTGTTACTTTAACTGTGATTTCGGAAGTCAATAAAACAAAATACATGACCTATTATTATTGGCTGAATGCTGTTTTGTCAACTATCATACTCATTTTTCAACTTATACAATAACTTTAAATACTGCAAAAAATGCCAAAACTATGGCCAGGATTTTCTAAAAAAATACCTTTGTGTATTCTTTCAAAAACGTTTTCCTAATGTAATGTATTCTTCGTTGCTAATTGATATTTCATTTTGTATTATTAAATTGGAGCATTAAAGTAACCATCGCTTATGTGTTATGACTCGGCTGTAATTATCATTCTACAATATAAACCAGTTCCCAGTAATTTATTCCAATAATTATTTATGTACCCACAAGTTAAGACCTATGAGTCCAAGGTCTTATTTAAAAAAAATATATCCAAAGGCCACGTAAACTCCACTACTATAAAACAGGAATGTTCCAAAATAATCATTGGTTTACTCTAGCAACGATTCTGTCTTTTCTAATTTTGATGGGATGACAAAGGTAATTTTGTTCCATCTTTCGATATTCAATTTTACTAATTGAATACTCGACAGTGAAAGGAAATTCATTGAGCGTTTGTTTTCCATCAATTCTTGTTTGTGATGAGAAATCAAATAGAGAAAACTTATTTTATATTAGCGTGTTTAAAATGTCCGACGTGGTTGAATTTTACTTTGTCAACCGTAACATTATTATTATCATTGTCCTTCTTAAAATAAAACTAATTAATTAATCTAGTCTTAGCTTTTATGATTATGGATAGCTTATATATTTCTATCTCACTCGATGTCACATCAATACCACCTCACTCTTTAAATTTAGGATCAGTGTCATGTGTCATTTTCTTGAATTATTCTCTATCCTTTATCTGACCATTTATGCGATTTCTATACCTAATACTGACTTCACCGGATTTTGCTTATCCGTCTGCATCACATGTTAAGGAAGTTAAAGAGTATACGATAATCTGTTGCTTCTTAACTCTTTATCTACTTGCTGCTCTACGTTTAGGCACCCTTTAATGCATACTTTTCTCACTATGTCTATCATAGTCATGTCACAATCACTTAGAAGATTTTTTTTTTTCTCTTTAACGTATCAAAAGTGTGATAGCATTTCTTCCGATTCTGAATTACGCAGATCGTAAGATGTTATCCCGTCGTGGTCTTATACCAGGAGGCTTCTTAGTTTTAGGTTTTTGATATGACTTTACAAACTTTTCATATGATATCAAATAAACCTAAATGTTTATTTCTTTAATTGCCTTTCTACAATACTCACTTTAAATATATACCTACGAATAATTATCATCGGAAATGATTCTACATAATATTCATAGAATCCAATTCTAACATTATAAACAGATAGTAACTGCGTATTGATTTGAATTACCTTGTATTAGTGGAAGACTTTGTACTTCATTTTAGTTTTGAATTTTTGCACTATGTGTGGTACATTTCCAGCGAAGCTTCAAAAATCGTATGTGGGAGGTTCATAATTAATCAGTGAGTGCTATGATGCTATGTACTTTATTATTTCTTAAAAATACCCGATTAAAGGATTTGATTAAGAGTATCTTTTTACAAATGTTTCAATAACTTGTTTCACTTGATTTCCACATAATTCTTATTCAATAGTATTTGTACTTAACCTCGTATTTGCTTATGGTAATAAAAACATAAAGGAAATACAAGGCAATACAAAGGAACTTCAATGACATGGGTTTTTTATTTAACAGGTTATAAATGAAAGAGTACTTGCAGTAGATTGCTGTAGTGGAGTACATCTTCATCTCACTACACTCAGTATTTTGATCGTTGTGACCTTACCCTGCATAGTGCTAACTGAGCAAACCGTAACATTTCTAATTATATTAGTTTACTAAGTTCAAATTTAAATTCTGACAGGATTGGCTGTTGCATGAAGATACCGAGCCCGATATAAATCCAAAAGAAACAGTTTTCCGTGTCACTGCCATTCAGCTGCATAGAGTTCTTATTAATAATGCTAGAAAATATCGGCCCACCGACGCTGCTAAGGCGGAAAGACTTTCTCGTTTAGCCGAGAGGAGGGCAAAAGATGGTAAATAAGTTAAAGTAATATTATCCTTACATTCCATTATGTAACTCCTTGTACCTTTCCATTTATTAACCAAAAGGAAGCATTATAATAATAATATTGATTTGCAGAAAACGTGGTGGTCACAGTAGGTGGTTTATAATGTTAAAAGCACAAAAACAGTTTGCTACATTTAGATAGCATGCAAATTTTTAAGACGCACAGATAAAATTATATAAACAAAACTACTTAAAACATTATATTGGTGACTAATAAATACGCTACTATACTACGCTAATGCATTTCTGAAGTGATATAACTGAGTACTACTTTAAAAAAAACATTGATGGAGTTAAAGCACTCTGCTACTGGCCGATTTTTAAATACGAGTATTATATAAATTTTATTCGTTTGGAAAAGTGTCGTACGAAATGCACGTTTGTTCTTAAAATATTATTCACCGGCCCTTTGTTTTTATGTATGTGAATTGACTGAGACTGACTGACATAACAATTTTTTTTTTTTGTTTGGTTGTTGGTATGGATAGTAGAGAAATCGAGCAAATTCTTCAAATATTAAAGGCACACCGTGTCTGCTCTCGGAACTAAGAAGCACTACTATGAAATTACTCAATATTAAGGTCTTTCATCATCAGCCTATCGCAGTTCAGTGCTGGACATAGGCCTCTCCCATTGCACGCCACTTACATGGATTTTGGGCTTCTCGCATCCAGCTCCTGCCAGCCATCTCCATAGTAGGTGTTTAACGATATGGTATTCGATTTTAATGTGGTTGCTAATATGCTATACTCGTAAAAAGGTTTCTTGTGAACTAACAGCACAACACTTCACTAAATACCATATCTGCATCGGACAAAGTAATATTTTGAGGTTTAACAATTAATCTATGCACGGACTAGGCAGTCTTTTTTTCTTTATACTTTATTAGTGAGAGATTCTGTTGTCTAATCTGTAATGTTTATTTTGTCCTACACTTTATTGGCCACGTTGCCTTGACATAACTTTAATATTTATTACATAGCTATTTTTATTAATGCCACACACTTTAGCTGAAGATACTGATAAGGAAGCAGAAGCTATAATTGAAATAGGCATTTGCCAGTTGGTAATGAATAATTTGAACAGTGCTCAGAAAACTTTCGAGCGAGCATTGCAAATACACCAGAAAAGTAATAACATAGAAGGATTATGTGAAACGAAAATGCATCTAGCAGCCGTGATGCAAAGGTAAAGATTAAACGAATACGGTCAAATGTTCTAAAAAATACTGACACTAGTGAAAATTATGAAGTAAGTAACTCAGACAGGTAATTTGATTAAGTTTTTTTTTATAACAATCTGATGTGATTTTCTTAATGTCATCGCACTCACCGCTTTCATTGAATGAATTAGGTCTTATTCATAAGGTTGTTAGTCGATATCGATAATAACCTAAACAATTTAAAGAATTAACATTCATTTTATTTTAAGTCTGGGTCGATGACCGTCATTAGTATTGTACAAATTCCATTTCATTCAGTTATCATGACAAGTAGAAAAACAATAAATACAATTAATCATTATTAACTACAATAAAAACGTTTCAATTGTCATGAATATAACGTTTTTTTGGTCTGTCGATAACAGTATCTTCGACATGAAAAACTCTTCTGTATATATAGGCTTGAAATAGACCAGGCCTATGTAATCACAATGATTCAGCTGTTTATTTAGGAAATAAATTTGATTCTCCTTTGCTCCTATTAATTGTTATAATTGATGAATATTGTCTATATTTACAAAGGTTGGGTGCGCATGAAATCGCAGCAAAACTACTAACAGAAATGGGAATGCTGGCAATGGATAACGGACTGAGAAGGCAACTCGGTCGGGCTTTGCATTTACTCGGAGAATTACATCTTCGCAGAGAAAAACCTGAGCTTGGCACTCAACATTTAACTGAAGCTTTTATGTGTTTCATGGGTTTTGGTTTCAATGTAGTAAGTTTGAAAGTTATTTGTGTAGATCTTTCATTATTAGTTTTAAATCGCTGACTCCAATAAATAGGTCTGTTGGATCTTAGTGGTTATTTACAGCAACGATTTTAATTTGAAAATAAAATTGTAAGTAGTTTTTTCCAAGATTGTAAGAAGCTATGAGAATTACATTGGTGGTTCATCAGGTGACGTTTGAACAACAACATAAAGTAGAAACTATACTTCAACTAACAACTCAGGAAGAACCTAGTTAAGAAAATTTAATAAGAATAAGATTTTTAAACTTACACGATGACACCGTTCTTCCTGGTTCGGTCCAAGGTTCGGTACTGGTGCTGGGCGGCTGTCACACACGAAGTTCAGTAGTTCTATTTGTTTGTTTTCTATAATGTGGTTTTACGAATTGATAAGTTAATTAATTGGTTATCATATATTTATTCTTTAGCCTTAATCTGATTAATGTCAGCATTAAAATATTAGTGACTACTAAGTCATTTTTTCCTGTCAAGATAAAGTCCGAACTGGAAGCACCTCAAGCAGAGGGTCCGGAAAAAAACTCCAAAATATTGTCAGCGATATGCTCCCCTGAAACTTCTGAAATATTTGAAGAGGAAGCGGAACAGTCAAGACTTATGGCAGCTATTTCTGCTGGTAAATAATTGTTTTAATTTTCGGTTAACGTTTTGTACTCCTGTCTGGAGCAAGTATTAGAGCTCTAGTATTATGTATTAAAATATTCACGTCCTAAAATTAATCAATTATGTGATCAATGTGACCAATACTAAATTGTGATATTGTGACGATTTTAGCTAAAATTTATCTCTTTGATCTCGGCTTAGCTTTAAAACTTAGTACTAGAAAACTTTAATTTGAGTATAAATATTTGGCACGCTGTACCCCTACAAATGCGAATGATTTTTTTAAATTTTATGTCATTTTGTGGTTGCAGGTGTGTAAAAACGAAAAATTACAGAGTTTAATAAAAGTGAATAACTCTTAAAGTATGTTAAGAAGAGTAAAAAGCAAAATTTTAATTAAATTGTGCCCCCACATGCACGCTTTTTTTTAAATAAGAAAATTCTTAAGTAATTTTTACTATATTTTAGGTCAAGAGTTGATGGCATCCTATTTCAATTTATTGAGAGAATCTAGGACTTGTGCTATTGCTAAAATGAAAACTATCGAATGGAAACTAGATAAACGTGGCTGGTGGAATTTCAGACGAGATCATAATTATCTACCATGCCCATGTCCAGCTCACAATCGTACTCCTTTGGATGTATTGAGGTATTTCAGAATCCGTTTAATATAAGTTCTAGTTCGTTAAACGGTACGGGTTAAAGATTCTCTTGTTTTTATACAATTTATTTACCTTCAATTGTTACTGACTTATATTTCATTTAGCTCATGTGCTTCGGCGCGAACTTTTCTTTTCCAATTTTCATCAGATTTGCAAAACGTAAGTACAGGAAGGTATTTCGGAACGCAGACCTTTTCCTTTATCCTCCACTCTGACACTTGACAAGCTTGACTTGTGATTAAAATGTGCAGGTGATTAAAAATATTATGATTTTTGTCGGACCCTTGCTCTTATATCTTGTCAAATAAAAGTATTTTAATCTGTTATATATTGACAGATAGGCTAAAATAATCAAGCAGTATTTGTTTTATTTAGCTTGGAATCCAGTATGTGAGATACTGGATTGCATCATGACAACATTGATATCTGATCATATTCACAGGATAAAACAACAGGAAGAGAAGGAGGCTACGATTGTTTCTACATTGGACATGCATGATGATGTTGGAAGAATGGTTTCCGCTCAAGATATAATGAAACTTCGTAGCAGTTATCTTGCAGGGTTCACTTAATCTCAATATGCCACAGAATTGTCTTATTGAACTTGTGAAAGTAGTTTCAAAAACAATCGCAGAACTCTTTTGTGAGTAACTTAATACCATTTATTTTATGGAAAATAACTTTTGAAGGCTTTTTGTAGTCCTTTATGTACTTAAATAATTATCGATTGTAATAAAATACAGAATAACTGTACTCTTTTATTAATTGACAACTTTGTTCCTATCAAGTACATTAATTATAACTTAAATGTCTATTTACAAAACTCACTATCAATCTATCCGTTTGTGTATATTTTTGAGCAAGAAATGCAAAATAATTCCTTTTTATGTAGATCTACCCGTTTGTAAATAGTCTGCCACCCATTTAATATCTTTCTAAACAAATAGAAAAATTAAATTACATTATAGAGTCAACATCATCGTGACTTAATAAAGTGTGATCCATCAATCTTTATTTACATAATTAAGTTTAAAAATAGTTATTGTTCACTAGCATGCTTTAGCTGCCTTGCGAGGCTGCAGGCGGACCTTGAAACCTTCTGCGCGTTTTAGAATAATATCAGCTTGCAATTGGAAATCAGACTCTTTAAGATCCGAATACACACGGAAGTTCCTAAGTATTGTCGAGAGGATGATTTTCAGCTTGAGCATGGCGTATTTGCGACCTTCGGAGAGAAATGTAAAAAATATTTAATAATAGTTTATCTTGTAGTAAAAATATACTTAATTCTGTCAATTCTGAGTATACACACCAACGCAACTCCTGGGGCCAGCGGAGAAAGGTACAAAAGCATAGTAGTGGCGATTGGCTGATTTTTCTGGCAGGAAATTGTCTGGATCGAATTTGTTTGGATTAGGGTATACATCAGGTCGGCGATGAAGCTTGTAGGTTGCAATAACAACAGTGGTTCCAGATGGTACCTTTTTACCATTTGAAGCTGTAATAAAGTAAGGAATATGATTTACATATATTAAGGGTGCTTCCACACGATACAAGTAGCTTGTACATGTTGAGGCACTTGCGCAGGTCATTTGCTTTACGAAAAGGACTATGCGTTTTCAGCGACTCGCGCGGGTTACTTCGGACATTATATCAACCAAACGTACAAGTTACTCGTTCATGCTACTGACGCAATTAACCTGACTCTTTGCTCGCTCCAGCTACTTGCACAGTGTAAAAGCATCCTAAGAAACTAATTGTTCTCTGGTCTCATCCCTTTGGAGTGCACACTGCGAGACATTAAAGGGAATCAACTGCTTTGCTCTAATGTCTTGCAGTGTGGTCTTATATGCTTAATGTTAATAAATTAAGTAAAAAATGCTTAAAAATAATTCGTTTAGTACAACGTGAGATTACGCTCTATAAGCTATAACGAAAGAAAAATTGTGCAAGATTTATTTGAGTACTTACGAAGTGTAATATCCTGATTAAGATGGCGAGCAATAATAGGCACTGGTGGGAACATTCTTAGGGTTTCCATTAGACACCGTTCTAAGTACTTCATTTCCAGAGTATCCTGGAATGTCGCTGGGCGGTCTGAGTCACCAAAGATTTTATCGAGTTCTTCAATAACCTTATCTTGTATATCCTGATGGACTCCCATCATGGATAAGAAGAAGCTGCTGCCAGCTGCTGTAGTATCGTGACCCTAGTCAAAAGAATATTTAATCAATAACTTTATATTCTACGTCAAACCATTATGGGCATATTTTTTTATTTCGAATATTTACCTCAAACATAATCGTGTCAACTTGTTCTTTAATTTCCTCATCAGAAATGACAACACCGTTTTGGGAACTCTCGAGAAGTAGATCAAGGAAAGCCAAACGTTTCTTTTGACCGACATCGCCATCATCCACATCTAAGTCGTCCTTGAGACCTGAAGACTGTCCAAATGACAAACCCTCGACGGAAGTAGCTTTTGCTTCTTCAGTATAGTCATTCAAAACTGTCGGTCTTTTACCGGAACTGAATTCCTCCTTCTTCCTCTTGATGACCTTTAAACATAAATGCAAATAATAAAATATACTTTCTGTGTAATATAATTATTGTTTAATGCGCGATTCATTAAAATGCTAGTTTATATCGTCTTTGATGGGAGCATGCATTAGTTTCCAGTATCGCTCAATAGGTCAACAAGTCTAGGATTATTAAGTATTTAAGTATTTATTAAGTAATTATTGTCAAATAATAATATAGTGCGGTAGGGAAATGTAAATTATTGATGATATTTTCTTGATACCTTTTTAGTTAAACCGTGAATGATACTCAGAAGTTTAGTTTGAGTCTTAGCATAGTCAGTTAGCTTGAAGAGTATCTCGGGTCGGAGCCAAATCTTAGTATGTCTTAAGTGGAGAATATCGCACATCTTCATTACTGCCATTGCATATTCAAATCCGCTCTTGTCTTGTGTAGTTTTGCTAACTCCCATGGCAGTTTCTATAAGATACAAGTATAATTAATCTTCCTCTATTGTTGTGCTTTGCTTCTGCATAATTGTTGATACTTAGATACCAAGCTTGAAAATTCCAACTTTTATTCAATAAATATTCTAAACACACAATATATTTTATATACAATGTAATGTGTGGTCCACTTACTAAATAATACTAAGACAATTATAAAAATAGAGCTCTTGACCGATATGAAAACAATTGCGTAACAAGGATAACAATAAAGAAGCGCAACGGCTACTACCGCTAAAGGCGAATATTGCCCATTAACTCGTGAGCACGTGGGCGGTCTCCAAACTTGAAAACAGCAGTACGACGTGTTGACGTTTAAATCAGCACCGCGTGGAACCACGCACGTAGTAACATTTTTTCAATTATAGTACTTAATATGAACACTAGCGATGTACATATGTAATGTATATTGTAGTATATAAAATCCAGGAAAATTAATAATTACACCTGTTGAAAATTATTATTATGTGGACGTTAAGAAGTAACTTAGTCCACATAATAATAATTTTCAACCAACTAAAGAATTTAACTACGCTTATGACTTTACGCTTTTCTCCCTCAATTGTCAAAATTTTTACTAGAGCTATTGGTGATTTAGAATTAATCTTTTAAATAAAAACCAACATACAGAGTTATCACATTTTTTTCCTTATAAATTAATATTTTCTAAAATAACATTACTCTGATTAACGATAAGGATACAAAAATCCTATGATCCTACATCTTGTCATACTTTTATTACCCCTTAAGGAAAAATGCGCGGTAAATATCATTAGTGCAGAATAAGTTTAGGCCGTCTAACACTGACCTGGATAAATGTAGGTATCGAGCAACAACATAAACATTACGGATAATACTGATAATAATTACTGTCATATACATTACAGATGCAACCTACAGTGCTATTTAGAGCCCCATTTATCTTTACTTCCTCCAATAAGTGTTATTATATATATACGCAACAAGATGATAACATGGTACGTGATAAATGTCCATAGATTTTACGTAATTTGTAGTAAATATAGGTCGACATTGTGCAGAGTTATCCGTTAAGCCGCAAAACCTCCTGTAGTAGATGGCTGATGTAAATAATTTAAAAGTTGGAAGACAATTTACATATAGCTTAAGAGGTATTATGTGTCATTGCGTAAATGGCAGTTTTTCAAAGTTTTTTTTTTTTTCATCTAAAAAAACCTTTATTGTTTATTTCCTTCACGTTATTATGTGCTGTCTTTGTGTAAGAGAAGCTATCTAAGGCTGTATTTTAAGCATAATTGTATTAAACTTTTAGTTGGTAGCTAAAAATAAGATTAAACTGAAGGTCACAAAAAATCTAATAACAGGGGTTTGATAGTTAAAACATCTTTCTATCCTTGAGGAGAATTTATCGCTTTATCGTTCAGGCGTGAGCGAAACTGGAGCGTATAATGGTCTCAGACACCATCGCCTTAAGATGTTCAAATTGATGGTGATGTCGTTTAAATCACCCGTATGTAATCTTGCATATTTCGCAAACAATTTAGCAGCCTATCGGAGCATTTGCTTCAAGAACACGGTCTATCGTGCATGTGAGGGTCAACGTGTTGTCACCAACGTGGCTAGCTACGTGATATTACATACAAATGGATCCTTATCCTTTTTTCTATATTCATTTATTTTAGAGTAGTTTACCACATTTTGTGACTAAGTAAGCGTCAATGGTAAATAAGATACGTCTTAAAATAACACGAAATAAACCGTAAGCGGAACTTCCTTAAAAATAACATTATCCTTAGGATTCACATCACGTTTCATTATTGTGGCAACACCTTGAGAATTGAGACAATTTTCGCTTAACACATTCAAGCAACACTTTATGAGATTTCACATTATCGTTAGCCATTACTCAGAATAATATTCATCATCATCGCCCCAGCCTTTTTCTATTAGCTTGGGGTCGGCTTCCAGTCTAACCGGATGTCGCTGAATACCCGTGTTTAACATGGAGCGACTGCCGTTCAAACCTCCACAGCTCAGTTATTGGGCAACACGATACTCTTAGATAAACTGATAGGTCAGACTTTCTGACAACCAGGACCAACGGCTTTATACGTAAAGCCGTTGGTCCTGGTCCAGAAAGTGCGTTGCCGAGGCATTCAGAATAATATTATTTAATAATATTGAAATAATTGTATTGTTTAATTGTGATTATGCTCAGATGCAATTTTGTTAAAGGTGTAGTGCAAAACTAGGTAAAGGAACTGCTGATGACGAATTATTATTGGTCAGCAATTTAATACGTATTTACTGCATTTAGATCAACGTTTTCATACGTAAGTGCAGATGTTTACATATTGAAATTACTATGAGATGTCATGTTTGCCAATCAACTGTATTCTTTATTCTTAAGAATGGCATTAAATACACTAGTTTCAAGGAGCTCTCCGTACTGGTCCATGATTCCATATTTTATAGAAATTACAGACCCCTCCGGTCTGTTTAGTGGTCCCCCTCCGGTCTCCGTCGGTTCAGTCCGTTTGCTAATAGTTTAGTGCAATGCATTAATTAAGGATATTAATTTTAAGAGTTGTTACTCTTATCGATCAGTACAAAAATACCTATCAGTACAAAAAAACCTACTTTTGTTACAAAAGTGTAACAATAAGTATTTTCACGCAAAACAGAACACAAATAAGTATGCGTATAGTATTTATTAATCATCATTCTAGAAGTAGAACGTAAAGTGTTCAAGAAATAGGATGCGAGATGCGCAAGAACTACAATATTAGGATTAATGACAATAAGAAATTTGTGAAACTATTTTAAAAGATAAGTTATCTATAACTACACAACAACCTATTGGTGTGTTTATGTAATTATAAACAACTGTCAATTATTTTTATTTAGTAAATTCTTAATTCTACACACATACATATACTGTCAAAATGTCTTTACCTCACAATCGTTTATCAAATCTAGATAAAAATATTAATGTTCATTTAATTATACTAACTAATAGTTGTTTTCAAATAAATAATATGTAAATTTATTATCTGATTGAAAACCTAGTACCTATTTTCTATATAGCTAGAGGCTTCGTATTGTCAAGTTAGTTATACGAGTAGGTCTATGTCATTTCATAAAAATAAATCTTCCAAGTTCTCTAAACAGCTTCAATTAAGTCTATTGAATCATTCTTATATATGAAAATTAGACGATGATAAACTATTTAATGCACATGCCGCAAATAATTAAATATGCTTATTGCATCGTGCTTAGATAGTAATTATGCGTCACCACACAAAATATCTCTATAAGTAAGCAAATTATTGCATTAAGAAAAGTATTTTAGTACATTCGCAAGAAGTTTTGGCGTCAGACAGGCGGCTTGCCATAAAAAAAAACAAAAACTATTTTACAATCAAATGAAGGACTGCGTAGTCATGCGACTGGAAGGAGAAAACTTATTGTGATGACCCCAAATAGGTTTGGGAAGAGATAAGAAGAAGAAGACGAACATTTTAGTACTTTCACTAGTCTTGTTCTAAGAGTGATATGTCACAAAAAAATTGAATACATCCACGCGCATATACTAATGTCTTTATTTTATTTATGAGCAGACAGAGACACACTAAACGCTCACATTTTGCCAACTGTAATTTTACTTCCACCATTAAGAGGCACACTAATAGGGGGCAAGCCTACAGCCGAATACATTCACCATTTTTTAATAATTTTGTATTTTAGATGAGTGGTGATACACGAATCGATTGAAAAAAAAACTAAATATATACCTACAGATTAGTGAAAATTGTTCTTGGATCGAGTCTCGCAGTTTTTGCCAAATTTTCCCGAAATTCAATTTCAAAAACCTATAATTCCTTATTGTGTTTTAAAAGTAAAATTGTACCTTGGTGATTGATTACTATATATTACTTTAAATAAATGCTATTTTTTCATTTAATTAGAAGCGTTTTCAGATTTTTCCCTGAACTTGTAGTATAATAGAATGTTACTTCAAGTGTACCCAAGGGTTTTGACATACAGACGGACAACAATGTGATCCTATAAGGGTTCCGTTTTTTTCCTTTTGAGGTACGAAACGATAAAAGTAAAAAAAAAAAACGAATGAAATAAAAGTAAATATAATCAATTTTTATCCTTTTTGTAATTCATTTCATAATTCCCATAACGTGTCCCCTTTTTTTTCTGTGCGCAAATCCCGTCGAATATGTCGGTGGTTATGTCGGACTCGAACGGACTAAAAACCGTACGCCATTTTGGGTACCAGTAGCCGGGGAACTAGGTGTACCTTTTTTTTGTTGACGGGTTGGAAAGTCCCTTCGGATCTCCGGCTCCTCGGGGACGCAGGAGTCAGGAGTATGTGTTTCCACTAAAAACCAACCAATGATTGCTGGCGGGGACAGGTCTTTTCCGACTTGGTTGACCAGGACTTCGCGTTAAGACGTCCACGCGGGGCAGTCTGCCAGAGTGTGCTGGACGGAGCCCCAGTCGGCTGCGCAGTAACTAGGTGTACCCTTTTTTTTTTTTTTTTTCCGTGCTTAAATCCCCTCGGATAACACCTATCGGTGGCATGTCGCACTCGAACCGACTAAAACCGCACGCCGTCTCGGGTATTAATAGCCGGGGAACCAGGTATACCCCAGGGAAGTAAATACTTGGTACAAGTCGTGAGTCCCCTTTAATGAATAACCAACTTACCCAGCAATATCTCCACAGTGCATTCGCTCATATAGTCATGGCAATCGAATACTCCAGCTTCTTTCTTCAGTTTGTTTACAACATCCCTAGAGTTAGCATTGAACAGGTCAATGAAACTCTTAAGCACGTTCAAGTGGAAAGTGGGAGCAATCAGTTTGCGATGGGAACGCCATTTTTGACCTAAGACAGAAAAAATGTACAATTATATTAACAAGCATAATTAATTTATGCTATTATTCTATTTTAATATATAACTCCTAATATCGTTACAATATCAGCTTTAATTACGTACATTGAAATAATATATAAAAAACCGGTCAGGTACGAGTCGAACTTGTGCGCCGAGGGTTCCGTAGCTACCCAGATTTTACGTAGATTTACGTAAATTTACCTTAATTTTCAACTTTTTTATTTTTCAGAACTGAAAAATAAAAAAGTTGAAAATTAAGGTAAATTTTGGTACTTACAAATTTTCGCGAAAATCTAAATTTGCCCATAACTTTTTATCGTGTTGACTCATTACCTTGATTTTTATATACCTAATAGGGATCATAGACCTTAGTATCTGGTATAAATTTCAACTTGTTAGAAGTACCCGTTCGTAAGAAAATCGATGGTGAAACACGAACCGACGAACAAGAAAGTGATCTTATAAGGGTTCCTTTTTTACCTTTTAAGGTACGGAACCCTAAAAAGTATATATACATTATATTGTTTTTATATTGCAACTGCTTCGTTGGTGCAGTAGGTAGCTATGCGACTGCTAAGCTGAGATCTCAGATTCGATGCCCGGGTCAGACTAAATGTTTGTATGATCTGCAAATATTTGTTTCGGAGTTTGTGTTTTTTCTATGTATAATATGTATGTATTTACAAAGAAATAATAATAATTATTCTATCAGTCAATCTAGCTTTCATAGTATAAGCTCTGCTTAGTTTCAAACTAGATGGCGTAGTGTGTTAGATGTCCCAAATATTTATTATTTATTTATTTTTATTTGTATCGATATTTAGCTGTATGTGTGTGTGTGTGTGCAGGTATACTTGTGTATTTGTTTTGTACCCATATATGTATAACATACTCAAATTATTTTTATTACAAAACACCTGCCCTGTCCCTCACTGAATCCCCAAGGGCCGACTGGTAGATAATACCATTGACGTTAAGTCCGCCGCAAATAACCCATGCAATGTAAATGCTCGAAGTTTAAAATATATTCTCATTGTATATTGAGTGACAGATGACAAGATAAAGATTTGCTTTTCCGAATCTTAGTGGTAAGTTGAAGCTAATGTTTGGTTGCTTTAAATAAATTACTTTAATCTGGTGAGGTTCAGTAATAAGGATTGGACTATCATAATAAGAACAAAAACTAGTGAAAGTTTGTGAAGATCATAATATGAAACATCACACGTATTTTATAACATTGCGAATGATGTCGAAGTTTAGTCTACTGAAAATCTATAACCAACAGGTTTACATATGTACAATTAAGATTAAATTACAAATTTAGGCATTTTTAAATGCACGAACAGTATGAGCATACTTCTTACAAGCTTAAAAGGTCAGAAATATGAATAAAAACAAGCCTGTAATTAAATACAGTACAAATTTAAATTGTTAAAATTGTTATTGTATTCAAATCGTTTGCCTGAACATAAATTAAGTAGGTATGTATTTTCTTACGTAAAATACAGAGTAATACATAATAATAATGTGGGTCGAAGTAGTGTTCGATTTATGTACTTAGCAATATTCATATTGTTAATGCTCACCTTTATTTGCTTAATGTGCTATTGAAGCACTAAATACGTACTAAAGTTAAGGTAACGGTGTAATTCTTACAAGAATAATTTCTACATAAGAAATAGCCTTATCATTTGCATATATATATACTATTGTATTTGATACAAATTTGATACAATATTTTTTAATAAACGCTTACCCGATTGTCATTCATATCATTGTAATGTATGTTAAGGCATGGCAATGTTATTGTCAAGTGTCACAAAGAAGTAAGCAAGGTTAATGAGGTCAAACAGTAGGTTCTGTTCAGTATTAAATTAAACAATAATCTGTGACGTTGAAGTATTCAATATGGTCTATAAGTAATAGTACTATGAGTAATTTATTATTAATTAAAAAAGACTTACCAGTGCTTATCAAAAGTCCGTCTCCCAACCAGGGTTTGAAAAACCTGTATTCCACAGCCTTATCAATATGTACATGACTACTGAGGATCAACTCAACATCACGAGGGTCATATAGAAACACCAGGAGACGTGGACCAATCCAGATCTTGACCACCGATTGATCGTCGAATTCAACACTTTTGTTGATGATGTTTTTGAAGATATCTTAATAAATAGAAAGCCAATAATTAGAAAACAAAAATATAATAATAATAATCATTTTTGAAAATTAATGTTTACAGTTTTTTTTTTCTATTTTAAGATTCTTCTATTTTAAGCACTAGGAACATATCCTGTGTCGTGGGGGACTTCACGAACATACATCAAATGAACACAAAGAACACCCAGACATAGAACAACAATTTGTGGATCACACAAAGTGTTGTTCTATGTGGGGATCGTACCCACAACACCATATTATATTTTGTGAACATCGAAACTGAAAGTGCTGATTTAGTTTCCACATTATTTGGCCAGTGAATCGTGAATTCTGTTTCAGCGGCCTTTTCAATCACAAGGCGTTTATACAGGTACGTGACTCCGGCTTTTTTGAGTACTGCAATCTCAGTCCTGCAGTCGTTCCGAGACTTACATTAAGTAGCTTTTACCCTAGCGCCTTTTGTGTTGTCTAAAAAGGATTACATTCCAAGGACGGCTGACATTTAGCAGGAGGCTAGTCACAGCAGAAATCATTGATTTTACAAGAGTTTTTATGGTTATATGTTCGTTGGAGAGCCATGCTTCAGCACAAATGGGCAGGCTCGTCCGTAGTGATACCACGGCCTCGCAGACAACTGGTTTTAAGCAATCGTTGAAGTGAAAACTTCGGTAGCGCGAGTTTAATGAGTTTTTTTCCATCTCAAAAAATATATTCTTTTGTTTGTTGTTCAAAAATGCCCAACGCGCCTGAAGACGTTTTCACTTCAAAAATAACGTAAGCTGTTATTTATTAAAAATTAATTATTAATTGCCACCTAAAGAATGATATGAAGGAAGAACGTAACTAATATTTTTTAAATACTTTACCATGAGATCCACCAGTAAACTCCAGGGCGTTGCCAATAATAGGCCAACCAGGTGGTCCACTGATTTTCTCAGCTAGTTCATACATATGCCTCCTAGACATTCGCCAGTAAGCATACCAGAGAATCAAAGCGGGCACGAGAAGTACATAAAACAGATTAGTGGCAGTCCAGGTGTTGGTAGACACCACGCTTTCTGCAGCCGCGTAACTCATTTTTGATTTTTCTTTGACCTATAATTTTAGATTTATTTGTATTAATTACTATATATCGTAATATTTTCTGAGTAATATATTACATATCATTAGTGATGTGCTGACAAGTTTACAAAAACATATGTGAATAATTATATAATAACGTAAATATATATTATTTTATACCTATTATATATTATGTAGTTAGTATAATATACATATTATATAGTATTATAATATAGTAGTATTATCATCATCTTCAACAGCATTGAACAGTCCACTGCTGGACATAGGCTTCTCTTTAGAAAGGAAGTTTTGGCCTACCATACCACGTTGGACAGGCGATTTGGGCCAGGGTTTGTTTCAAGTTTCCTTCTCCTTGTAGTACTGTTGTTCTGCGTAGTTTGCTCCCTTAGTCGGCTCTCACGATACCCACGGGATAAATGGTGTGGTGAAACTATGTATTCTTAATCCATCACATCACTGATAGTGGCAAGCCTGTTGGTCTAGCGGTTAGTGACCCTGACTGACACAAATATTGTGTGATGAGCACGGTCATTTGTCCTATGCTATTATGTGGTATTTATATATAATATGTATGTATTTAAAAATATAAAAGTATGTTTATCAGCAGTTTGGTTACCATAGCACAAGATCTGTCTAGTTTGGGATCAGACGGCCGTGTGTGAAATGTGTAAATGGTATATTATTATTATTACTGATAATTTTATGCAAACCAGTTCGGAAAAATTTGGCCATTCCATTTAATTCGTTACTTATCCTTACTATTGAATACCTAAGATTTCAATTATCAATATTATTTATTATACAAAATACTAAATACAGCCATATTATATTGATATTTCATTCGCGTTATTTCAGCTTCACGGTGTCTACTTACAATACGAACCGAATATATGATAAAATATGTGTGCGTCTGGTTTTTTCTTAAGTGATTAGAACAGAAATATTATATTTCTTTACTACTATACCGCAAAATAATATGTTATTTATAAAATTGTGCATGCATATTTATCTGCAATTAAATATTAACAATTTTTACGTATTGTAACATCAATATTATTGGATTTCCGATAACAATACGAGTTCTGAGAAGAATAGATAGTACGCTAAGGCATAATAAACACTGAAGTCAAGTGTTTTTCTTGTTGGTTCGTACATAAACGAAAAAGCTGAAAAGTTGCCGAAAGCCGCACCTAATTGTCTGTTCTAATGACTTAAAACTCCGACAACTTCTTTGTTTGGTTTTCCATGGTAAAGTTTATTTAATAAGATGTCTTTTTCTTAAGAATTTGTAAATACGTTAAACTAGTAGGTACCTTGTCTATAACATGTTTTTTCTTTTGTTTTAATTTCTTCTAGTCATGGCGTTTCAATGGTATAAAAATAAAACTTGGTTGACGGATGAGGGCAAAACTTAGAAGGTAATAATAAAATAAGGTAATAATACTTAGGTCATTCAGTCAGCCTTTATATGAGATGGGAATATATAATGCGAAATGAAAGTGGAAAGGTCAATTTTATAATGAAGTAGTGCTAAATTGTAACAGACACATATCTATGCACGCCAATAAATTAAAATGTTTCATTGGCAGTCAATTAATTTATAGAATGTTCAACCCGCTCTTGGATTTGAATTAACTATGTACAATCGTGAATTAAATTAAATATTACAGTCGAGCAACCACATAAAGTATTTTGAATAACAAATAGATTGTGACGAAGCTATTTACATATCTCAGAATACTAGATTATTATTATGGTTACAGTATACTCGTATGTTAGAACGGCTAAAAAACCTAACAGATATATGTAAATAGTTATGCAATTGTTTTCGGTCGAAAAATGAATATTCACCTATCGTATTTTTACGTAATCAAATTTGGAAGCTATATTATTTTAGATGAATGCTTTAGTTTTTAACAGCTTAATCTGAACTATATTTATTTCTTACATTTCGATGCATATAAGAGAAGATTAAACTTTGTACAAGTTGGATGAACTAAGGGTAATGCATGACTTTATTAACTTCAAAATCATGTCTATAATGAAAAATAATATGTATGTTTCTTTACTATGTTTTTTTAATATTTAATTCTATATGAAATACCTCTTAAATTAAAGTCATCAACATATTTTTTGTAGGATAATGTTTTTTGGATGTTGTATTTGTGACATAAATGAGTTTAAATGAGTTTTAATAAACGCCTATAAAAGAATTATGATTTTTGAAAATAATATTTCTGTAACACAATTTCGCTCATTTATGGTCATTTGTCACAACTTGGATGACAATAACATGCGAGTTCGGTAATAAATACGTTTGAGTGAGAAATAAAAATTCACTAGTCGTATTTCTAATAGCAAGGCGACCACAAGCCCTTGCTCCAATTGTACAGTAACGTGATATTTGAGAAGTACCCTTGGATTCCATCGTAATAAATGCAGACTTTGCATTTTTATTTAATCTGCTGAAGTTTTTTGCTTTGTATAAAGTTACGTAAGACAAAAATATCTGGATATTTTATTAAACCCCGTATTAATACGATAATACGTTATAATATAGTTTTAAAAACCCAAATTTTAAAAGCATTTAATGCGAAACTGCTACTTAAAAGTGTTTGTTTTAAAGCGCTTTAAATGCGCTTAAACTATGTCATTACACCAAAGGAAAGTGATGAAACTGGGTTATTGTACAAAATGCGCTCAAAGCATATTCTTTTGTCGAGTTATGTGCAGTGGATGCACCTATTCATGACTATACATCATCTCACATATTTTGTATGATGTACCATTTGAAATTAATAACAGAAACCTAAAAATGAACTTAATTGAATGTTTAAGGCGTTTAAGGCATATTTTTTAAATTGTTGACCTGCTTTAAGTACTTATGTTAAACGATGTCGTAGCAATTTGTGAACTGATTTTAAATACTATATTTTTATATATATTAATATATAAAAATACATTTTTATATATATTAATATATAAAAATACATTTTTATATATATTAATGTATAAAAATACATATTTGTAGTGATGTTACAAAAAAATAATAATCTAAGAGTGGCAAAATAGTTAAATAGTTTCAAATTGCATAAATATTCGCATTAATTTTTTTGTCATTTTTTTTAAAGAAAATTATTCTAGTTTATTTTATATACTAATTTATATTTTATTTTATGTTGGTAGTCAATGAACAAGTTTTCTATTTTAACCAATAACTTAAAAACAACCAAACATTCGGTTAGAGTAAGTAATAAATTCTTAAATATAGTTTTGATAAGATATTTCAAGCAATACTCACTGATTTCAGTACTAAAGGATCACAGGCTGTTTATTTTTGTTTTTAGGAACAGTACTTTTTTAAATTTAGAAACATATTTCTATTATTTAATAAGGTAAACTTACGTCTATTAGGTAATATGAGTAATGTCCCTACCTCTAGTAATATACGACCTCCCACTCACGGGTAAGACACGACCAATGCAACGTCCTATTCCCGAACGACACTTAGCATGTCTTGATACAGACTATCTATGAGACTCACGCGCAACACTCTATATAGATACGTACGTGACGTCACGACTCGTCAACGCAGCTCATTGCTTATAACCAACATTATTATGCTAATCTTAATTTAAAATATCTATTAAGAAATACAGTACTAATAATGGAATATTTATGTATACACATACGCAAGCGTTGTATGTAGATATTTTTCAAAAACCCTTATATTATTTTTCAAGTTAAGGTTTATAAGCTGTAGTTTCAGATTCTCAATTCAGTATAATTGCATGAGTCCATTGACAGCGCTAGTCACTGTCAGGTGACTCGACTGCTCGTTTGCCTCCTATATCATAAAAATAGTTCAATAATGGATGTTGGTGATATGGTCTAAGTTGTTGTTACACATTTATTACGCTTTGGAAAAAGTAAATAAGATTATATATATATGTATAATACATAATAATAAATAGTTGATCAACGGTTTCTTGGTCCCTGTATCCGAAGTCGGTTTTATCTTTTGTAATTTATTCAAAAATGTAATCAATATGTAAATAAAAATGTAATAAAGAACAATAATAATAATCATTTATTATATTTATTATCGAAAAAGCCTAATACAGTTTTTTTTTTTCTTTAACTGATATAACTACGTAATAGGTCTTTACCTATAAAATTGCCGTTTTGTATGCAATAAGTGAAAGTACTTATTTTTTCAAACTTTTTTATTTCTGTTATTCGAAGTAATCACCCATGCAATCGACGCATCTTTGCCAACGCATTGGCAGTTTATTGATGCCCTTCTTGTAAAAATCAGCTGGACTGGAGGCAACGAACTCTTCAAAGGCATTTTGTACTGCCTCTCGGGAATTGAATTTTTAACTCACTAAAAAGTTGTCTAAATTTTGAAAAAGTAATAGTCGGTAGGTACAAGGTCTGGTGGTCACATCTGCAACCAGCTTTGGTCAATCGGTCGTCACCACTGCTCCTTCACGACAACGCCGACCCCATACTGCGCAACAGACAGTCTCCAAGCTGCAAGAGCTGAGGTTGGAAGCTCTCCCTCATCCGCCATACTCACCAGACCTTGGACCAGCTCCACAAGCTTCTAGAATGCCCGTCGTGGCTTGGGTGAAGATTCAGATCAGATCAGAGTGAAGATTCTCTAGCTCGGTACTATGGTTGCGGCCATGGTAGGGGACGATGGCATTTTTGGGACTAATCCCACCCACACGCCCACCGCTGTAACTCCTGTACACCAGGATCCACAGCAGTGACCCACGAACACACCAAGTTATGACACTCGGGAAGTCCCAGGAAGAAATTAAACTGTCTTGGAACCCGCAACGAAATTAATCAGAAGAAAATTGGAGGAGTTGGAAATACAGTAAATCCACTTCCCTCCTTAGCAAAGCGGGAGACAAAATGAAGTAAAAAGGGCATACACCCTTTTAAACAGGGAAGCACCACGGCCACAAATATTACGGGTCCTACGTGAGCTATGTTTGACTTCTATAATATGTATGGCAGAATCGCCTAAACGCATGGAAATTCACCCTAGTTGACACAAGATCCCCATAGTATACCGCCCCAGATGTCACCTGCAAGCTATTCAACATTATATTACGTTCATTATACCAAAGACTATATTCCCAGAGGATATGATGAGCAGACTGTTCATAGTGAGAGTTAGGTGTTGAGCATTGACACAATGGTGACTCGACTAATTTAAATGAATAAAGCTTGCTCTTAAAGTTACCATGACCCGTAAGAAATTGAGCGACACCGTGATCCACCTCAAGCCATATCCTCGACAACCGTTCGCGAACAGATGGAAAGAATTGGTAAAGATGGCGCCCCTTGGATGATTCATCCCAGCGTTGTTGCCATTCGTTTATGAGGTCGTTATAGACATCGGGCTGCTGTTGAAGCAATCTTGTAATTTTACCGCGATCCCGCGCGCCCAAAAAATCGCATTCCATGTTTTGTTGTCTTGAATAGTACATGGCTGCACGTCTCTGCACCTCGAGATCGACCGGAAGCACACCCGCCAACACCACAACACAACACGATGGCATGTAGATTTCGGCCGCCTCCTTTTGGCGAGCAAGTTATGCTCGAGAAGGAGAGGGTGGAGCGGCACCTGAAAAGGCTTAGAACTCTCCCGGTCCCACCAGGCTTGCGAACGGGCCAGGTACTGCAGGTGACCCAGGCAGCGGAGGTCGCTGAATGCTTTATGTGTTTTATTTTACTGTTGTAACCTAATCTATTGGTTAAGATTATATTATGATAGTTTTATGTAAACATATAATTAAAAAACGGGTCACAAAAAAAACAAAATATTCATTCCGAAATGTTTATAAAGCTCTTGATATTCCCATTACCTAGAAGGTTCATTTTTTTTGTTAACGGGGTGAAAAATCTATTCGGACCCCCGGTTCCTTGGGAACGCAGGAGTGTGTGGTGTTTCTATTAAAAAACCACCCCGACGGCCGGCCTCAGTTACCTGTCACCGATTTGGCCAGTGTTTCGTCGACTTTATAAGGCAGCTCTATAAGGCGCAAGTCCGGCTGCGTATGGAATACAGTTCTCATCTCTATGCAGGGGCACCTAAGTACCAGCTTCTCCCTCTGGACCGCATCCAACGAAGAACGACTCGAATCGTCGATAGCCAAAAGATTTGCGATTCGTTGGCGTTACGTAGAGATGTAGCTCCACTCTACATTCTCTATCGCATATATCATGGAGAGTGCTCCGAGGAATTGTTCGGACTAATACCAGCCGCAATTTCCGCCATCGTTCCACACGTCAAAATTTTCATCCTTATTACCTGGATAGTTGGCGCTCTACTACTGTGCGCTTTCAATCACACACAACCAATCTGTGGAACGGTTTATCGTTTGCGGTATTTCCGGACCAATACGACCTTCAAACCTTCATGAAAAGATCGTACTCCTTCCTAAAAGGCCGGCAACGCGTTTGTGACTCCTGAGTTGCAGACGTTCATGGGCGGCGATGGTCACTTTCCATCAGGTGACCCGTCTGCTCGTCTGCCCCCTCTAACATAAAAAAAAACTTTAATAAAGCAGGAGGTTTTCAAGTTACATTTTAATGTTTGTCTCCTCAGAACTCGGTAACTTATGAAGTGATTATGATAATTATTTTTTCATTTATTAGAGTGTACTTTTTTTAATAATAATAATAATTTTTAATAGAGTAACGATGACTCATTGCTTGTTAGTAATACATAAAGACGGCGCTGCAGTGACCCGTGTACCTGCAATCATGGCTAGTATGCTGTTACTAGCCCGCACCCTGCGCACAAAAGATGCACACCGTTTTCGTATAGTAGTGTGAAAGCAGTCCACTCGCGCCTAAGCGATCATCCTGGATGCACTACAGAAACGGGGTAGCCCCAACAGCACCCTAAACGCATTGTTGTGTTGGGTACGGAGGGAATTGTATGCGTATAGAGATAGTAAAGACGTGCAGTAGGCTCTGAAGAATGTGATCTTAACATTATTCGAACAATGTGTAAACCTGCGGGTCAACAATTTCGCTCTCACCGATAACGCCCTCCGTTCCCTTTCCAGATCCTCATCGTCTTTGAGGCTGGAAGTTAAAATATGCCCTTGATTTCTAAACTGAAATACCCTTTTTAATAGTTGCCTATTTAAGAGTGTTTGTGGCATATCCTTAGGGCCTCTACCCCCAGCCTCAAAAACCATGACCTCGCTTTTCTTAACATTGTATACCAGGCCATGTCTTTCGGCGTACTTCTCACATATGTGAACAAGCCTTCGCAGGCCACATGGCGACACGCTTGGCAGCGCCATGTCGTCTGCGCAGCTGACATTATTTAGACAAAGGTCATCAATATGACAACTGACTTTTGCGCTACTAAGCTCGCCGATCAGCTCGTTAACGTACAGGTTGAAAGCGTTGGTGAGGTCAAACCCACTTGTTTTACCCCGCATTCCAACCCATACGGATGCGATAGAGTACCTGCCCAGCGGCCATTATTAATTGTATTACCATACTAGTATTTTAGAGCGTTTATTACTGGAGTTGATAATTCACATTTTTCCAACTTGTTCCATAAGATGTCGTACGAAACCAAGTCAAATGCCTTGGAAAGGTCGAGAAAACATCAGTACACTGAAGTGTTCCGCTTTGCATAGTACTTGACAGCATTTTTAAGACACAGTATAGCACTTTCCGTTGATAAGCCTAGGCGAAAACCGAATTGATATTCAACTGCGTATTAAGCACGCTGTTAAACACCTTAGAAATAACCGTGGCTAATGATAAAGGCGAGTTGGAAACATCGGCGAGATCGCCAGTTTTATTTTTAACTATAGGCACTACTACAGTGCGCAGCATATCCAGGCATATAGCTGTGCGTCATACATAGCGAATACAGCAGTGCCAACACTCTTGGCAGATGGGGTCCATGGCAATTTAAACTGAGACCATCATGGCCGGGAGATTTTCCCTTAGATGACTAAGGGCAAATCTCCCGGAATGATTAAATTTGGCAATTTCTTGGGCCTCAAAATGAATCCCCGGATCCATGTTGGGCCTCTCTACTGATCGCCATCCGAGACAGTCCCAATGGTGATTTTACATAGAAATGATCCTTAAAGAGGTCGACAATATCTTTGGGATCTGTCAACCGACTAACGCTCACAGGCAGCCCCGACTTGTAACTCAGTCTGTTAGTATTTTTCCAGAAAGCGCGGCAATCATTGTTTCAATGATTCGCTGCCAGCATATCTAATTTAATTTGTAGCTCGTGAGCCTGACACGACGATCGCTTTTAGACGAGATTTAAACATTTTTCTGGTCTCACACATATCTGTTAAAATTTTACCACTGGTGGTTTACCATGCCCGTTCCAAATCAATAATGATTGTTTAGCCTGTCTGTGAGCCCCAGTGACATGTTTCTTCCATCCAGTGATATATTTATTTCGTATACGCTTGCTGTTTCCCACCACCCTGGCCGCCTCGAAAATGCTCGAAAAAGTGACGCAAAATTGGACCTTCCGAATGGACCATTTGAAACGGAGCCGCGGACAACATTTACATGAAGTTATCTTAAAAATGTAAATGGCAAAGGCCAAGTTATCAATTTTAATAAAAAATTTGAATATATAATGCAAATTGAGTGTTTTATTCGATTTAAAAAATAACTAAGCTTAAAAAATCACCCATTTTATATCATTACAAGTTTTATCACAACAGTTAGTCAATTCTTATGGACAAGCTATATACGAGTATCTCAGTCTATAATTACATTCATTTTGATATCTTTCTACTTCCTGTACACCTCTTTCGCCCCATTCGGCTGTATTTTGAGATAAACTAACATTATAAAATTTTGGTGATAACATATTTAAATTACACTCTATGACAAGTAGAAAGTGGTCGGACCATAGGACAGCGTACAATACCGAGACATTTTTAACTGTATTTACAGCAGCCTGAGTTACAAGACAATGGTCGAGCCGTCGTTTAGAATCGTGTGACTCACTTAAAAATGTGTATGTTTCCGATAGCGAACCTAACATATCAATGTCTATGCAAAACCATGTCAGATCCGCACAAAAGTTTATAAGTTCATTATAAAATAGTTTGGTGGGATGTGCATTATAATCTCCAAACATGTACACACAATCGACGCCACAGTTATCTATGATAGCACTTACCGAACTAAGTATGTCCGTGAAATCCGCAAGATTTACAATCACATCGACAGGCATGTAAACACTCATCACTATAAAAGCTTTAACTTTCGACATTACTTTCACAGCACAGATACGCGGGTTACTACACTGAACAACGGTTACTTGCTGAAAATTTTCCTCCTACATAACAAGGCAACACCCATATGGACGTTCGTTGGATAGGTCCACTGCTGATACCCCTGTCGTGCTGAAGTCTTCACTAATGGTATCCAGGAAATACATTTCGTTCGGCAATAACCAGGTCTCCTGTAAAGCCATCAAATCGCAACTTTCACTTTCATTATTTCATTTCATAACACTCGAGGTAAACATAACATTTTATATCTAACGCACAAAAAGCAACACAACAAAGAATTTTAAATACAATTTCCCTACACTTTAGGTAAAGAATTATGAATATTATCACTACATGATTATACGTTCATACTGAGTAGGTATGTAAAGAAAGAGAGGTGACTAAATGGTGATGAGAGTCTTATTTCTATTATACTAATAAATAAGTTATACAAAATAATGTCTAGTGATTTTTCTACCACATACAACTATTACTTAAAAATGTTCGGTTGTAACAATTTCAAAGTCAAGAAAAGCATTATGTTGTGTACCTTAACGGTACACAATATAAGGTCTTTGGATTTAGAGATTGAAATCCAAATACGTACCTTACCGAATATACGTAGTAAAGGTAATTTAATTTAGTTTAAAGTTAGTGTGTAAATATTTCTCATTGTCGACTTCATTGTAGGCTCGCCGGCTACAGGCTATTGCTTGCTGGACCATGGGCGGTAAGCCGCTGTTTGTACTTTATCGTCACCGCCTGAACATCTCGAAATGTAGCTAACTAGCTAAATAGACTGTTGAAATGACCATTCTTTGCTTACATATAAATCAATGAAGTCTTTATTGTTATTAGTTCAGTCCCACAAAACTAAAACCAGAATGTGTCAGCATTTTGGTTCACAAAGACGCAGGTGACTGTGCAGATGGACTTTTTTTTACTCTAGACGCCTGATTCCTCATATGCGGTTTGAGTAAGTTCAAGCTGCTGTAGTTTTATTGGGTTACGTTACGTTCTCATTGACCTAAGAACCCCGTCAATAGTTGAAAACAATTAATATAGTATAACGGTCAGAAGAACGATAAACCTGCATCAAAACGATAAACTCATGGCATTTGGTTTCCACTGTGATCCGAGCAAAAATAGCCTTCATGTAAATGGCGACCTACTTTGAAACTGCTCTGCTATCTAAAATAACCTATCGCAATTACATACCCACAGTATAATCTGTGGGTATGTAATGTATGTTCTGCTGTATGTAATGTATGTAGCTGACAGTATGTTCAAAAATAAATGTTTAATCCAATAGATCTGTAGATAGAGAACCTAAAATTATATAAATGGAGAAAGATAATTATTAACATATTTTATTTTTCTTGAGAAAATAAGATTTTTTTCCGTGAGTCAAATGGTTGGAAACATAAGAAAATGTGTCATAATTGTGCACGATGACATCTAATTAAGAAATCAGATGTATCGCTTATCTTGTCTTGTAGTTGGTGGGCAAAAGAAATAACAAGTCGATGCAGAAAAGTTTTTAATTTTTTTTGTAAGTGTGGCAATAGTGACCTTTAATGAAGAAAGCATTAGTAGAAGGTGATAACAGCAACTTGTCCAAAGGTTTTGAATTGAATAGAGGGCAAACTGTTTTGCCACAAATTTGAATTTGTGTTCCTTTGAATACAGAAATGTTAAAATTATAATAAAAGTAAATAGCTAATTTTACACTTACAATAAATTACCATACAATGCCTAAAGTACTCGATTCCAGTAAAGTATTGTTCGTCATACGTAGTCATGTGACCGTAATGCCGCGCGCTTTTCTAGCATAATTTTCATTTAAATATAATTTTAATTTATAAAGAATTATAATAATATTTAAATCCATACTCAATACACCACACTTAAATTATAAATGTGAAAGTGAGTTTTTTTTTATTTGTTTCTTTCACGCCAATGGAAAGCTACCATTTAAGTGATTAACATAGGCTACTTTTGTCTGCAATAACCGACGTATACGTGGGCGGAGCCGCAGACCGCTAGGAATTATAATTAGATAAAATAATTAAAATTTAAATGAAATAGTTATTTTAAACACATGAAGCATTAAAAACTATTTTTGAAAAGTCCCCCCCCCCCCCCCCCTCAGTTAACGTGCAGGGTCACAAATACAAATTAAAATGTAATTTACGTTTGAAGTTACTTATAGAGACTAAGTGGCATAATTTGTAATTTAGGACTAACCTTTTTCCGTTTCTGTTTTTAGTATTTTTCAGATGCACTTATTGAAATCATTTTAAAATTAATAAATTAAAAAAATCACAATCATTTATCAATATTTTAATATCAAGTGTAATCTCATGTGTAATTGAAAGTTAGAAAAGAATGAAATTAAAAGTTGACTCCTAAATCAAAATCCTACCCTAACAATTATGATTTAGCTACTCTTAAAGCAAATTATGACAATAAACGGACCTTCATTGGTACAAAATTCAAATCTACATTACAGATGTGGTAGCAAGGAGTTGTTGTTTTTCTTGATGCCACAAATATCATTTTGGTGTCGCATTCTTGTTTTTCATTCACATCGTCGTATACGAAACCCAAGTTAAACGATAGACCGGGAGGAATACGCTTGCACCTTGACAAAGACAGGTTAATAAACTTAATTTGTTCTAGATCTGGAGTAAGTTTGAAAAGTTTTAAGTATACGGGATCGAGAGTAAGGTTTGAAAATTTTATGTGTGCCGTTGTTACTCCACCTCGCTTGTATTCTATCCTAAACATATTGGGATGAGAGACTAGGCGGTTTTCACAAATGTAAGATGCAGTTTTGTGGAGAGGACTCGAAAAATATTTAGAGATTTCAATGAATCTTTGTACATCAGCTTTGAATGTCTCACTTGGCCCATCTTTCTCTGGACTGTCTTCAACAAGATCAGCTTTTGTTTCTTCTTTGACAGGTTGTAGTTCGGAGTTTGTAGATTCGGAAATAAATTCCTGTACATTTATATTAGGATGTACCATTTTGTTAGGTGCAGATTCCATTTTCCTCCAATGTGTCAGACTCATTACGTAGTAATTTTAGAGGTTTCACTATTGTCAAAATAAAATTGGATAAATCTAAAACAGGGAAAACAGAAAATGTAACGCAAATTTATGTAAAACTTTATGTCAAAATGTCATTTTTAGTTTTCACTAAAATTTAATCGAGACAGCCAGCTATAGTATTTTAATTTTTATTTGGTTATGGTATTGGGCTCTATGAGCTAGCAAAAGTTGAAAGTACTACAGTCTACCATAATACTTTTTATTATTATGCTCTTCATTATACTTCATAAAACATAGCTTGAGACGGATGACAGATGTCACAAAGCAGCACAGAACATATATACCCCTAAAAGCAGTGACTAGTGATGCGATATAACTATCTAAATCAGTAAATATATAGACTATAATGTATTGATTATATTTTGTGTAATTTATAGGTACTCTATTTATAGGTTGTAACTTATATATGAAAAACATATATTTTTCTAGTCGTACAACCTAAATCATTTTCTCTAGTCGTCGTGGCTGTAACAATCCTGCAGACTTTTTATATCCATACTTATATCGTAAATGTGAAAGTGAGATTGTTTATTTGTTTGTTGTGCTTCCACGTCTAAAACACTAACCGAATTTAAAAAACTTTCACCAATGAAAAGCCAGTAACATAGGCTACAGTTTACCACAATAACATGCAGTGTGTGGTGTATAGTGTTGGTAACGGTTTTAAAAACACTCCGTAACTGTTTGTTGTCTTTTTGCACAGATTTATGTAGCTTGTCCCTATTTCGTGGACATTTAAGTAAACCTGGTGTTATCAAGGGCTTTATTAGTCTCTTACGTCGGGAAAGAGTAACAGTCGTGGTATATTTTTCAATAATTATAGACCATGAAGGCATTCTGTCAAGTATTCAATACAAAGTTTGGTTTGTCTGAGTTGTAAATCACGTTAACATCCATTTTTGTGATGTCATTTTCTACGCCTGTATAGTTTCCACAGAGCAGGGCGCCTGAGACCGGCTGTCGGGGTGGTTTTAAGTGGCAACATAACCTTTTCCTGGCTCCTGCGTCCCCGAAGAGTCGGAGATCCGAAGGGATTTTCAAAAAACGTAGTGGTGTATTTTCGTGTTAGTTTAGTGTCTATTTTTATTAATACCGGATAATGGTCTGTCAGTGTTGTTTGTTGAAAGTAATTTAGACCACGACATCGAATTGTTATGTACTCGAAAATAGTTACGTGTAGGGTGAGTGTTGTGTATATGTAGTTTCATTATTTGTGTGTGTAGCAGACTAATTGGCATGTGAATATCATTAATAATTTGAGATATGTGTTTTACTTGCGATGAATTGAGAAGATATATGAATGTAGTAATCTTTGTAAGTGTTATTTATTTATTGGACAGCCAGTAGTTTTTACATTATTTACTAAAATGTAAAACATGCATGTATTATATTAAGATTAATGCACAACATTTTAAGGCGTCATAACATGCTTAATAGAGTTACACTATGTAAAACTAAAATTAGAAAAAAACATCTATGTGATTTTAACACTTAATTGAACAAATATAAAACAAACAATAAAATATAATAATATATAAAACAAACAAATTACAAGCATATTACTATTATATGACTTTAACTTTAACTACCTAACAGACCACTTGAATCATTTGCTAAGCCTAACTAACCTCATAGCAACTTTTAACAACTTTTTTGAATTTTGCGAGTAGTAATAGTAAAACTTGAAAATTAATCAATAAGACAACAATAACAAAGCCAAATTGTACCATGAACAGGTTTAAACAGTTTTTGTGCTTAAGTGTATAATTTACAAGATGTAGAAAATTAACACTAATACACAAATAGGATTATTTTTTTCGTAATATCGATAAGATTAATTACAATCGGTTGTTTTAATAGTATTACATAACTTACATTTGATTCAAGTGATAAATACATGGTTATATGATAAATATACATAATTTTATGACAAAAATATCCAACGGTTTTCTGTTAAAACCTCCTTTTTTTTTCTTTTTGTTTTCCGTGCGGAAATCCCCTCAGATACCACCTGTCGGTGGCATGTCGGACTCGAACCGACCAAAACCGCATGCCGTCTCGGGTACTAATAGCCGGGGAACCAGGTATACCCTAGAAAGGAAGTCCCTGGTGCCCCGACATACCTCAGGTCATCTACAGACGAGTAGACGACCCCCCCCGTGTGGGAACCCCATGTTCCCTGTGCTCCCTGCAAGCGAGCGCGCTTCGCAACGCGCTCGCTGCCACCCCGGCCTGCTTCTGCTAGGGTGACAGATGGCCTCACCTGTCACCCCCAGGCCTGCGCTTATGGAGGACGGAGGTCGTTCTGCGACCTCCGGCGCCTGAGTCGCCTGCGGTACCTGGCCCGTTCCCGGGCCTGGCGGGCCGGAAGAGTCCTAAACCTCTCCCGATCCCGCTCCGCCGTCTCCTTCGCGAGCATAACTTGCTCGCAGAAGGAGACGGCAGAGTTCCACGCACTCTCGCTCAGCACGATATCCGCAATCAGGCTATCGAGCGAGAGATGTTAAAACCTCCTGCAATATTAGTTGGCTTCTTAATACAACACTGTAATATAGTGAAAAAATACGTCTAAAAAGTCAGTACATATTTGTTAGCTTTAAATAGTTTACATTTTACAAGATGATTTAATATCAACAATATGCCTCCCGAATACAGTATTTATATTTTGTTAATTATTTTTTTCCTTTGTGTTAATTAACTGTATTACTTTTATGCGCTCCTCTACCATTTTTCTCACTAAATTGCATTAAAGATAATGTGTGCGTTGACACGCACACATTATCTTTCTGATCCGCATTTTTCAGATGCGTCGATTCGCACATTTCAAAAAGGGTCGTTTCCAACAAGGTGTGCAAAAAATTTTTGGAATCGACCACTGAAGCCGTTAAATGTTTTTTTTGTTCGGTGACATAACTATATTGTTTTATAAATTTAGTTTAATTTATAAGTTTAATTTAATTTAGTAGAGTTAATATGGCTTCTTTTAGACTCTTTACTTTGACTTTGCCCCTCAAGTTTTTGGACTTTCACTTGAATTTGAAATCAGAATAATATTTTATTTATCAGCTATAGTTGTATGAAACAAGTGATTTTGGTATTTGCGAGAACAATATAAATTCTGCATTTATATCTCTCTCACAAATACGATTTATTTATATATATTATGGAGGTGCCGTATAGACAAAGGATACTGACAAACCTGGTGAGCTTGTTGACAGATAGCGATATGGCCTTAGTATCTTTACTTAAAGAACTGTAAAAACCATAAACATTCACATTATTTAGTTTTATATATACTTTGTTTAATTCAAATTTAACTTTCCGATTGTTTATCGTTAAAACATAATTAATCTAAATAATCATTTTCATGTAGTTATTATCAGTTTTCGATGTCTTAAAATCACTGTTCGGCCATTCATTACTAGACATCAATAGTCTAACATTAATTCATACATAAATAAACTCATTCCTTTTTCCCTGCGGACTAGATGGATAGAGCAAACCGCCGGTTCGTTCATAGCTACCTCACAAGACTACTCTGCGATCATTTAATATTTCACACAAGCCCGCCGGCTCTAGGTAAGTACTTCTAACATGCCCTTCGACATTTTTATTAGTTCTTTTAATACTCACTTTAACTACAAATAATAACAGTCGCAGTGCGGCAGTTTTATTTATTGATTCTTTCTTTAACCTTTAGACTTACTGGTTTGAAACAGCTAAATGTATATCTTGCAATTCAAAATTATACTTCATCAATGTACTTCAGATACATTGTGATATAAAAACAGTTGGCAAATTAATCATCCAATAGGCCTTCCTAATAGATGATTAATTTGCCAGCTGTCTTTATAAGAACAAATAATTACTCGGCCGAAGTGGAAGACAGAAGATACAGAATTGGAGCACAATCAAGGATCAAACTTTTCGAAAACGGTTTGCTCACTGCGAATCTGTTATGTATATATATGGTCTTTTAAATTTTTTTATGGTTAAGAGGGGCAAATGAGCAGAAGGATCACCTGGTAAATGACTGCCGCCGCACATGGACACCAACAACTAAAGTATCACAAAGTTGCGTTGCCGCCTTCTAAGATGTTGAATAAGGCCTCTTTCTTCGTTGATGAGGTTGAAAATTCCTTCGGATCTCCGGCCAGTCGGGGACGCAGGAGTTAGGATTATGTCGTTTTTCCATTAAAAACCACCCCGACGGCCGGCGTCCTACTCCGAGGAGGACCCTAATCAAGTTATTTCAGGTCCCTCCCGGATCGACATCTGCCTTATAAGGCCCTATTATGGGTAAGCCGCGGGCTTCCCCCCGCCTATCGGCCCAATCATTATGTGTAGCGGCCCGATCGCATTTTCGCGACCAAGCCGACATCCTATCGTCTACCGCAGAAGTTACACTCTCTGGTAGCCTGCGGCCCCGTCGATGGCTGATATCGCCGCCGATATCCTCTACGCTCAGGATTAGCCTTCTCCCTCTCTCTCTCTAGTAAGGCTCAATCCCGGGGATGTTGAATGAGCTCTAGGAGGGGGGGTTTTGTGCCCCGGTAACCTCACTCTCTGTGAAAAGTATTGAAAGAATTGCTGAATAACTATTTCATGTAAGGCTGTGTTATCACTCCGGTCGAGCCAGCCCATATGAACCGAAATGTGTTTTGATAAAGAAAATATCTATGTATGTTTAGCCGTGTTCATACTCACTGTATGATCTCTTCTTACTTAAGGTGTAAAATATTACTATTATTTTTATTAAATATATTACGCAATTTATGTGTTAATTATATCGACTTACTTCATGTGTATTTATGCAAACCATACATTATTATGTCCATTCTAAATAACTTATTAACAGTTAATAGGTCATCTATAATTTACATATAAAAATGTAAACATTTGGATAATACTAAATA